GCAGCTCTCTGTAGCCACGTTTACACATTTCACACTAATAGGTTTCCTAGGGGACCATGGCTTTCCCTGACCTAGCGGCCTCTAGCACAATGGACAGGCTTACCTTCAGGTAATTTCCCTTCTGAATGGAGGGTCCTGGGAGGGAAAGGACAGAGAGAGAGTAAGATGATCTTTGCAGGTTAACAGGAAGGGCCTGCCGGGGAAGCCTGTCACGCCCATGGTCCCTCCAGGTCAGCTTCTAGGTCGTTTCTTTTGCATGAGTTGGCACAGATTTATGCTGCAGCTGAAGGGCCCACGGTGGGCACCTTACCCAAGGACAGCCAGTCCCAATCTGGAGGCTGGCCATGGGCTGACGAAGAGCCCCAGCTCAGGCCATGCCCATCAGAGAGGAAGGGGTGGACGCTTCAAGGTTTTTCTTTCTGAAATTGTAATGTGAGTCTGGTGGGAGATTATTTTATTTTTAAAATATGTTTTTATTGATTTCAGAGGAAGGGGGGAGAGAGAGAGAGATTAAAAACATCAGTGATGAGAGAGAATCATTGATTGGCTGCCTCCTGCCACTGGGGGTCAAGCCCACAACCTGGGCCTGTGCCCTGACTGGGAATCAAACCATGACCTCCTGGTTCATAGGTCAACGCTCAACCACGGAGCCGCGCCAGCCGGCTGGTGGGAGACTATTTAAAATGCTGACATTTCTTCCCTGCACCCTCCCTCCTTTCTGACCTGCCCCACTCACTCCCAACTCTGACAGTGGAGCTGTGTCTCCTTCAGAGGAGGCAGGCCCCGCAGCAGCGATTTCAGAACCTCTGGCCCACTTTGTTTTAAAAGCCGAGGGTGGGAGATGAGGCAGGTAGTCCGGACACGCAGACGCACATGAAAAGGGTTCTCGGGAGCAGAGCCTAGAAGAGAAGCTGGAGAGAACTGGTCAAGTATGAGCCTGAGAAGTAGAAGCTCAGAGGAAGCTTCCTGGGATCCTGAGCAGAGGCGCCTGGTCCTGCGGTCCAGATGGACCTGGTGCGCTCGGAGTTCGGGCCGTTGGGATCCCCAAGGAAAGAGGCGGGAATGCGGGTCTCGGCTAAGGAGAAAGGTGGGCACCGGAGACTCGCAGCTGTGCCGAACCTGCACTGTGCCCCCGGGGCCGAGGAGCGGTGCGGAGGAGGCAGAATGGGGGGGGGGCACTGTGCCCCCGGGCCGAGGAGCGGTGCGGAGGAGGCAGAATGAGGGTGGGGGGGCACTGTTGCCCTGGGCAGAGGAGCGGTGCGGAGGAGGCAGAATGGGGGGGGGCACTGTGCCCCCG